CCTAACCAGTGCAGCAAATCCTTGCCCCCAAAGCTACTAGGTTATTTTGAATTCCTTAATTTGTTGTGGCTCTCTTAATAGAGGTCTTTTTTGAATTAATTTTTTTTCATTCAACTGCTAATGTATTTGTCCCCGGGCAGAGTGTGCTTTAGTCTCCTGAAGTTTTGTAAGCAGCTCTGAACGTGTCTAGACAATTTGTTTTTGCAGAGCAGGATAAGGAGCCAGGTCTTGTGTGAAAACATGGATGGTGTTAGACAGCTGTGCCTGTGCAAAGAAGCCCTCTGGAGAGGCAGCACGTGTTATTGTGGGTACAGTTGCACAGAAACCTGTTCCAGCGGGGTTTGGACTACACCTACCTCTCGCCTTGCCCCCTTGGACGTGCTGAAGCTAATATGAAGCTGTCTGCACCTCTTTATTTAGTCCTGCTACAATGAAGTGATCCCTTGGAAATTCTGTCTTGGCTTTGCAGAGTTTACTTTGCAGTACATAGCTACAGTTTTGTTTTGAGCTGCAGTAACTTTTTTCAATAGAATGTGTAGGTTATTTAAGATATACTTGATAACGCTTTCCTGGCTGTGTCCTACATTGTTCTAGTCAAGGTCTATTATTAATTATTAATATTATTAAATATATTTTCTTATTTTACTTTATAGCCTCTTTAGAAGCCATTTCTGTAGGGCAGGCAGTCATACCTGAATCATAGTATTGTTGCCTTTTAAAAGCACATTTGCCATCATAGTTTAGTCAGGTGTGACATTGCAATAGCTGCAACAAATCTTGCAGCAAATAGATGTGAGGAAATGTACTAAAAGGCTGAAGTTGTAACTTCTGCTGGTTTTCCCTTTGAAGGACATAACACTGTTTGAGGAATAGATGCTCAAGGATGAGAGTAATACCTGGCCAGGAGATGTTACTAATTGCTCTTAAAGTAACTTGTCAGTCAGAGGGTCTATTTTAAGTTGATGAAACTGAAAATCATAAACTTGAGCCTTCACCCAGAACAAAATATAAACATCATGAGAGTGGTTTCTGCTGCTGTTAGTGAGTGTGGTTAATTTTACTTTTCCAGTGGCATTCTTGAAAGAATGCAATTGCATTTTTGCCCTGCAATCATGTCATGCAGTATCAATATTTTAATTTTTTTTTTCTTTTCTTTCTTTTTTTGTTTTTGCCTGTTATAGTATTTCTGGGATCAAAACTCTAGTTTCAAGTCTAGGTGTGGTGTTTTTTTTAATTCTGTACTTGTTTTCGAAGCAACTGCTTTGACAAATGATCATTTTTGTTTCATACAGAGTTTTTTAGGCAACTTATCTTCTGCTTTCTTGGTTTCAACTTCGTAGTTTTAAAAGGACTTCTCCTTCCGGAGTAATTATGTTGGGTAAGATAATACTTAGATGTGTTTTTCTTAGAGCTTATTCTTTTAACCTCCCTATTTAGAGTTATTTTTCTAACCCTTTCTTTGTATACTTAATGACCAGAGGAGAGATTAGCTGCCATGACAAGGAACAGAAAAATCCTCTTTTTAACTAGAGGTGTTCTGTTTTTGTCATTCTTCAATTTAGGTCCCAGTTCTTTTTCTTAAAGAAGCACTTCCATATTAGGCCACCTTTGAACCAAAGATCTTTTATACAAAAGAAAGATGTTTGATGTTGTTAGATACCTCTTCGTTAGTGAATGCGCTTACTCTTTGAAACACTGTGACCTCCTTCCAGATACATGCACTGTAACTGTAGTGTTGTGACCTTGTGGTGTCAGAGAACCTCTTTAAGGAAGTCATTGTGGTTGTTTTCCAGGGATCTGGGAGCAGTACGGGTAGGAGAGAACAGAAGAGGGGCTTTTGAACACTTGGAAGTAGTTCTCACAGATGTACTATCTCTGCCCCTGAGCTGTTACTAACTGTCCTGGTTGCTAACTGCAAGCTGCTTTCCAGTTTGTGTTGACGCTCCCTTTTGGAAGACGGACGTGGTCAGATACTGCAGCGGGTGTCCCGGTGGGCGCCGGGCGCGCTCCGCCCTTCCTCTCCCGGGGAATCCCGCGCCGCGCGCTGGGATCCGCGCTCCGTGCGCCCTCTGCGGGCGGCGCGGCGGAACTGCAGCCGCGAGCCGAGGAGCCGCGGTCCTGGAGAGGCGGGACGGGCGGAGCTGGAGCGCCTGGGCATCCTCCTTCTCTTCTTTGCTTCTAACAATTGAGTACTGCTGGCAACAGCAATTCAGATTTTCCTTGACGGCACGTGTAACCCAACAAAAATTCTCATCCTTGGATATTTTACAGCCTTTACTGACCGCTATCCATAAAGGTTGCAAGTCTGTACAAGCAAAAGTGATCTGAGTTTTAGCTGAGAAGACTCAAAATTGGCACAAGCTTGTATATACAACATATTCTGTCCCTCTTCAGCAATTTGATCACCCTGCAACACTTGTTTTGAAAAAAATGTCCATGCCTGACATTTGGGGTCTCCAAGGATGGTACACCATCAGTCACTAGAAAGCTGAAGAGTGAGTGCTAGCATTTACTGTAACCCCCGTGTGAAAAGAGATAATCTTTACAGAGAGGGACATATATGTTTTTGCTGTATTTTTAGTATGTATTTTGCAAGTTCCTGAAAGATATTCTGGGGATGTCATTTGACAGCAGATACTTACAGTCTGGAGGGAAAAGGTAAGGTGGGAAGGCATCAGTTCTTTCCTGCTGTTCCATCTGTAAGACTACTATAATCTGGAAAGGTTTAGGGACATAAGTGGATAAGAAAATTATTTTGTTTGTTTTCTTTTTGTCTAGTTCCTGCTCTTCAGTTTAGCCTTTATTAAACATGAAGTGGGAATCAACAAGACAATCCATCTTTCATTGCATGTTGCATGACAATTGTAGAATTTGGCAGCTTCATGGTAGCATTACCAATATGGGAAGTATTCAGAGTTCCCACTTGGATGATGGAATATACAACAGATACTTTTACATTTGCATACAGTCCTGTGCTTATTAAACCTTTTTACTGTTGCTGATCCATGGTTTTTCAGAAGTTCTGTAATTGCCTTTGCCCCAACAGGCTGCTATTTTCAGTTCTCATATATTTTATAAGTTTCTCATATATTTCTCATGTATATGCATGTATGCGTATATATATATATTTATATATCTCAATTTATGCCATTCGTATACACATGGGGAAGAGGAGTTAAAAATGCTTATGCAGTTTGTGTGGGCTAAACAGAGCTATTCTAGGAATCAAAAGACTTCACAAAACTGATGTCTGACAATCAGAAGAAGTTTTGAAGTAATAGATAAAGGTGAAAGGATTTACATCCCATCAGTGTTTCAGTACTATGGCTCTGTGGTTTGGTTAAGGAGGGCAAACTAGTATGTTGTCCCATGTCCATCAGTTAGGGGAGAAACTTGAATCCATTCACAGTTTGAGAGTCCCTCACATTCTAGTAAAATTATTTTAGAGAGAATTGGTGTTAGCTTTTGCTTGCATATTTCTGCTATTGTATACTGTTTATTTTTATTAAGAGTTAATATTATTGTTTAACATTGGCTACTTTTCAGTCTCTCCTGCAGTTTTTGAATGGCATATTCTCTAGATCTGTTAGAAATGGAGCCTTTGTTATAGATGGAGCCTTTGCAGGATGCTCTGCACTTGAATTATTACCTGGATTGAGTTTTAAGAATTGAGTTCTTCTGCAGTGCATCACTAGCATCACTTTGTTCCTCACCTCTCTTGAAGTGGTGATGATGTATGATCAGCTGTATAAAAGGCTGGTTTTTGATTTAGCTGTCATGACTATCTGTAGCTGGTTTTGTTTGAGCAGCTTTATCCTTCATGAACTGGAGAAAGAAAGCCATCTACTGTGGAAGATCACTTGGTTTTCTGGTACTGTTAGTACCAGGTACTAGTTTTCCAATACTAATCCCAAGGTCTTCACCCAAAGAGACTGTTCATACAATGCTTTCAAGGACTGATACTTCTGAAGGGTTTCCACTATTAATAGGAAGTTATTTACAACCAGATTCCAGCTTTTCTAGGCCTTTATAAAATAAAAAAATTGAATGAATTTTGCAGTTCCCTGGCTTTTCTTGGTTATGTATTTGGAGAACTGTTTGTAGCAACTTGTGGAATACTGATATAACACTGCCATCATATAATTGTATCATAGACTCATGGAGTGGTTTGGGTTGGAAGAGACGTTAAAGACAATTTGATTCTGCCCTCTTGTAGGCAGGGACATCTTGCACTAGATCAGATTGCTCAGAGCCCAATCCAACCTGGCCTTGAATGCTGCCAGGGATAGGGCATTTACAGCTTCTCTGCACAACATGTGCCAGTGCCTCACCACCCACTCTGTATGTCATGATTGCATGATATTTCTTTTTATAATGTTTGCTAAAAGGCTTCCTATTAATTACTGAAAATGAAGCAGCTTTATGTAATGCTTCTGTGCTTGGAGTGTAACCACTGAGGAATGATTAGCAAGCAGAAAATTGGCCCTCAGATGACTTCTGTTTTTTAATTTGATGAATAGAAGTCAAATTTTTGTTGTCTAATCAAAAGACTTTAATACTACTTAGTAAACAGCTTACTCTCATCCCTCAGGCAGTTGCATTTAACTGGTATGGCAGGATTCAGGCATTACTCATCCAAAAATGTCTGGCACACTTTCAAATCTTATGTGGCCTTATTTTCAAGGAGGGGAAGTTGGTTAAATGTCATCAGAATAGTGAAGTGCACAGTGTGACTGTGTTCATGTAATCACTGAGGCATACTAATAACGTTAAACTCAGTACAGTGGCAACTGCATCATCAGTTTTTCTAGAATTTAATAATTGTGAAAAATCTTGTAAGAGTGTTTAACTTAATTTCTGAGTCTGATGTAAAAAACTAAGATCAGTTCTCTGCTGCTGCATGGGGAAGAGATGGGAAAGAATCTACCTGATTTCTGTGTAGTTTCTCTTCAGAAATTGTCATTTAGGTGTTTAAGATCATGTTTTTCCCTTTTCTTCAGTTTCTAAGGGAAGATATGCAATACAAGGATGCCTCAAATAAACACAGTCACCTGCACAGAGAAGACAAGCATATCACCATTGAGGATCTGTGGAAACGCTGGAAAACGTCTGAAGGTAGGTAAAGAAGTGTAGCTGAAAATGACATAGTTATAATTCAACAATTTTTCCACCAAGTATAGAGTAGTGAATGAATGACCTCTTGAAGCATCTTCATCAATCGGTGTTGACACTGTTATTTATAGGCACACGTAAATCTGGCTAGAGAACTCATTTAGTCCAGCTAGAGGTAGTTTCCTCTTCATGTGCTTTGTGTATTGTAAACTAAATAAACTAAGATAGCTTACATGAGGCTCTAATTTATCAAGGTGACTGGTGCAAATACTGAATTCCAGATTAGCATGTTTTTAATTTAATGAAACCTAAGGGTTTCTCTCAAGCTATTTAATTTTTTAAAAAAATATAGTATTAAGTGGAAAATCCAATGCACTTTCACTTTGATTTAAATTTTATTTGAGCTACAAAGATCTGGAATTCTTAGTCCAAAGAATTTTTGAAAAATCTTCTTTAGCTTGAGATACAGTAAAATGTACTGACAACCCAACACCACCAGCCCTCCCTTGCTTTGATTTAAATGAAATAAGTTGAGCCAACTATTCCAAGTATCAAAGGACAGTATTTAATCAGTACAGTGTTCATTGCCAAATATGTCCCAGGATATAGTGATTATATATATAAGAGATCTGGAATGTTAGAATTGTTGGGAGAAAAATACCCAACTTCCTCAGCCCCTTCCCCACCTCAGCCCTCATTCTGAAGGTGTTGTGCTGTCCTGGCTGTGCCAGGAGAGGATTGATTTTCAGCAGCAGTCAGGAGGGGGCATGGCTATGGCCAGGGTGTTATCCTACACCTACAGCCCCACGTCACTGCTGGGAGTGTCTCTGCTGGGGAGAAGAGGTTCATTCTGGTTGAGAAACATGGGGAATGGACCCATCTGGTATTTGTTTATTGTCAGGGGATTTCCATGTGAGTAGTTTATTTTCCTTATACCTTTTGTTATTGTATTGTTGCTATTATTGTTCATTTTCTTATCTCATTGCTGTTCCAAGTAAATTGTTCCTATCTCAACTTAGGATCTTTACCCTTTGTGCCTCCAGTTGTGGGGAGGGAGGGGAAACTGTACACATTTTAAAGGCCTGCTAAATTTGAGAATACCATTCTTAAACCACAGCGTGTTCTAATGGTGAGCATAGAGAGATCTAAAACTCTGTATGGGTTGAACAACTGAAAGTAAGAACAAGAGGGGAATGAAACCAGGAATAGGGCATTGGTTCTTTCTGCTAATGCAGGAAGTCACTTAAGTGCACTCTGAGGTAATGCATGAAGTGTTTGGAATGTAGTAAATATCTGTTTTAACCAGTAACTTTTCAAACTCTTCAAATATTCCTTAAATACTTATTCGCTGAAGATCCTGTTCCCTGAAAGGATTGCAAGTAAATTATCAGAAAAATTGTCTTCTCAGAACTGTAAGTCATGAGTTCAAAAATTTAAGCTGTCGTGATTCTAGAAGTATAGTTTGTCTGTTGTGTATATCTTTATTCCAGTTTTATTGAATGTAGTGAGAGAAAGTAAGACTCAAAAGATTTGGAGAGGAATGTCTCATCTCATTGTGTCTTGCTTATAGTGGCTTTATTTGTGTATCCTGCTGAGAGAACTAAAATTGCACCAGAGGGAGACCTTTAGAATAAGACTCCTGAGCAGTTTTAACAGTGGTCTGCTGACTATTAGAAAGCATGAAGCCCCTCAGAAAATTAACTGCTTTAATTTGATTTTAGGTAAAATGTTGGAAAATGGAAAATGTTGCCATTCCCTTCTATATGTTTTAGGCATTTTTGATTTATTTGTTTTTTATGTGTCACTAGTTTATAGCAATTTGACAACATTAAGCAAGAGGATGGAAGGTAGTGTAAATGATAGTATCAGCAATTAGAGACTTTAAACAATCTGTTGAGGTATCTGTGTGAGAATTGCAAACTCTAGTGCTCCTGACAGTATATACAGAAACATTTTTAGGATCTACTGCTGCGTAGTTTATGCTGAGTAGAATTTGTCCATTCTTTGCCATAAAGCTTGCTTTATGTGAATGTTTGTCTTAAATATTTGTCAAATAGCTTAAAGGTGTTCTTTGTTTAACATATTGGTGGTGCAAGATAGATAAGGTATGAGGGAAGAAAGCAAAAAAATGCCATTGCTGTTTGATGTCTCCTTTTAGGATTAAGGAAAGCAGAGGTTACTTTTAAATAATTGATTGAAAAGGATTTTATATACTGAATGTAACACTGAGGGTTGGCTGTGTTCAGAGCTCTAAAAATCACCTAATAATAGACAGGTCTTCAGAACATTTCTTTTAATATTTCTGGGTCTGGGCAGGTTTTTGATGTCCCTGCCTGGTGCAGAATCCTTCATAGTGTAGGCTGGTGCAAATTGAAGGAAGTTCGAGACTGTTACAGGTTTTACCTGCATGGCAGGAGTCATATCATAGCTTGAATCAGCATCTAGCCTATTGTTGCTGTATTGCCACTCAGTTTAAAGGACTCCTTTGGTACAAAACAAGACTATAATTTAATTTAGTTTAGTTAGAATGTGCTTTTTGTGACCTTTGAATTTTTTGAATCTCATAATCTAATTCTACAGAGTGCTCTATTTAGATGAGTGACTGTGAGCTATCACAGCTGTTTAAAATGTAGAAAACACTTCTCTCTGAAAGTCTTCTGACTTCTCTTACTTTGTGTTACTGTTCTTTAAATGCCAGTATATGCTTGTTGCATGGTATTATTTGGCTGTCTTCTCCTCCAACTAAGCAGTATTTATACATGTACTATAGAGCCTTTCAGCTGGTCACAAGTAACAAACTTATTTGCTACTGTTAGGTTAATATCAGAGGTGCATCTTCAGTGTTTTTTCTGCAAGGGTCTTGAAGAGGTAGTAGTTCTGAGTGTGGAAAAGGGGACAGAGAAACATTTGGTTTGATGTCTGAATACCAGTCCTTGTACAGTTGTATTTGGAAGTTCTCTCACTAACTGGCACCTGCCTTCTCTCTTTGCCCCTCTAATTGGCTGTGGTTGTGTGAATTTGCTGTCTGAAGAGCAGGGGTGTAGGTATTTAGTCTCAGTAGCAAGGGGGCTGTAAAATCAGTCCAGAACCTTCAGCTGGTTGGTTCTCTGACCTGTCTCAGTGAGTAGGGCTGGATGCATTCTTAGTGATGTAGCATTGTCACTTGGGACTTGATTTTGTAGCCAAGTAAAAACTGTTGAAGTCAAACCTGGAGTTCGTGACTGCTTGGTTGTTGTCAGATTAATTTGAATCCTACCAAAACCTAGTTGTTACAAACAACCTTAAAAACCAAAAAAGTAGGGTTTTTTTACCATTATGGCATATTCGAGCTTTAATGTGTCTCCTTTAATCTCCTATAGACTGCCCTATTATACCAAAAAACCTTCTTGCCTTCTATGTGTACCTCTTTTTTTCCCCCTTTAATTCTCATTCCCTTTTTGTGGAAAATAGGAGGTGAACTAATGTCTGGTACATTATTTATTAGGGTAAAAAGATACAAAAATGGCTCTATATTTGCATGTGTGATCACCTGTTGTATTCTGATGTACTACTGCCAAGTGTTCTTGCAGCAGCTGGGACTAAAGTGCATACCACAAACATGTTGTGGTTGCCTTGCTCTCTAATAATTTGCTGTCTCAAGTTTTAAATATCTGGAAGTTGGAAATGAATGCAAGCACGGCTTGGCTAAAGATGAATTACATAATGCTGCATGCTGCTGATGTAACTGCTGAAGGTCCTAAAAACTAAGTTTTTAATCCTTTTGTGTCATAAGAGAAATTTAACATGATAAATTTAACACACAAAAAACCCTGATAAATAGCCTGATCTCCTAATCCCTGTGGATTAACAATGAGAAACTTTCATACAGGGCCAGTTTAAAGCTACTTTTACTGTCTTCACCTTCAGGTGTTTTGGTAGAAGAGTTGAAAAGAAGTAGGAAAAAAACCCCCAAAACTCAAATGTGTGATCTGCATAAAATAGCTGATGGAAGTCTAGAACTGAGTACTGCTCTGGGGTGTGGACACTGCCTTCTATACCTGCCTCCCCAAAGCATGTTGCTGACATCCTCTCTCTGAAGGTATCTCTTTGTTAAAAGAGGTGTGTGAGAGAAGGATGTTACAATTACTCTGTAATGCTATATGCATTTAAATTACAGTAATTGTGGCTTGCTACTCTGCTGTCTGAAGTAACTGCTTTCTGTTTCGGTGATTAAACTAAGGGAAAATTACAACCTCAGCTAATTAGTGCGAGTTGGCACATTCTAATTGGCAGCGCTGATCAAGATGAATTTCAGCTGTCCTGCTTGCCCTTCAGTACACCTGGTCCTGGTGTATATCACACTTGCCTTGTGTCATGTTTCAGTGCTTCTTGTGGAGAAAGGCCAGTTTGCTTTTCAGTACTTTATGCTGTTGTAGAACAAACATGTATGTATGTCATGACTGGAGACAAGTCAAGTAATACTCCTTACCAACATATGGTCTGTGGAAGTTAACAACAAAAAGAAGCAGTCTGAATGTTTTCACTGATTGATAGAGTAGGAAAGGAAGAACAGTGTGGTTTAGAGTCTGAGTTCCCCTGCAAAACTTGGGGATTTGGGGGCACTGGCACTGGACTTCTGTGAGTGAAGAATTAGTTTACATAATAAATCTAAATTTCTTGCAAAATGTGTATGTGAAAAGAGATTCAGATCTTGACATCCCAGAACAAGAGATGACAGTATATATTCATAGCTTAAATGGTTGAGTGGTCAGTTAAAGGGACACAACATAAATAAAGAAGTAATTTGATATTATTTTTTAATAAATGAGTAACAGTATAAGAGTACAGAAAGTACAAGTTTCAGTTCTAGTTTAAGATAGACTGTGGTTGTTTCTTTTTGCAGTTTCTGCACTAATGGAGGTATTTGATACAGTGATAGATAATGAACAATAAAGTGCTTTTTCCAGAATATAACTGATTTGTTTGGAAAAATTCATTGATAGTCTATGAAGAAAACATCACACCAGTTTAAGCAGTGCAACAGATGTGATTTGCTGTATGGTAAGCCACTTAAATGTGTAGCTCATTTCTTTCAGGATAATATGTTTCATATTACCACTGGATTATAGAAACCTATAAATTTATGTAAAATTTGGCAGAGTGTCTACAAAATTCTTTCAGTGGTAGAAGTGAAAAGTCTCAATGGTATTTTTAATCCTTCCCCCAACTTATAAACTCAGTGAATTGTGTGGCTTCTGATATTGAGTTCTGTACTGTCAGTGATAGACTGTAGTGTGCAGTGGCTATTTTAGGTGTTTTTTTCCTCATGCCAAAACAAAACAATGCTTTTAGTTTGGATCAATCTATGAATACATTTCTAGAATGCAGTTCAGGTGATAATTTTCTGGATGATTCTACCACTCTTTTGAGACTTGTAGTGACCAGTCAAATGACTTTGAATGATTTGTAAATCTGATTGCTTATTATTCACAAAACAGAAGAATCTTTGCAGTGGGAAAACTACCTGTTTATAAGTGGAGCCCAGATATTTTACATAAAATTTTAGAGTAGTATGACAAAACTGAGTCTGTGTGAAATCAATACCTGACTGTAGTTTAAAAGGAGAGAAGGAAATGGGACAGCATACTGGGAAGGTTGTGTAGCCATTCATATGGATAGATAACAAGGGGTTTGTATTGAGTTTGTTTCTTGAAGCTCTGAGTCTTTGAAATGTGTTCTGCCTCCGCCTATCAGGGATGATAATAATCTTAAAATGTTTAAGCTTATTTTGCTGCTGTGCTAGTGTAGACAAGAGACCTAGAAGTCCTTTTTTCAGTAACAGTGTGAACTGAAATATGAATTGAAATTCATAAAAATTTCCATTGCCTGCAGCTTTACCTGTCAGGCTTTCAGCAGTGCTTTCTAAAAGATTGATTGTCAAAAGTCACCACTGAGAATGTGTCCTAGTGATAATCTCTGCCCAGCACTGTCACATGCAAGTAGTTCTAGATAGGGAAATGTTCAAAAAAACCCCAGTTTTTCATGTGAATACATGTCTGTCCAGAAGGAGGCTGTTCCTGTTTCTTTCATATACAGACAGACTTTTGCAGACTCATAAATGGAGTGAACAATTTCCCTTCAATTTTGTCAGTGTGAAGCTGTAAACTGCATCAGCTACTCTGTAAGAGACAGAAATGTGATTTTTTTTTTTGTAATATCTGTAGGTAGTATTATCTTAGCACATCTGTAGCTATGAATGTTTATATAGAATGTTGCTGTTATTGAAGAAAATTGTTAATTATTTTCTGCATATTTTAAGTAATTTTTCTTAGTGTATTTTGCATGCTATTCCACTTTTCTTGGGCATGTTTGGGAGAGATTTAATAGTTTTCCTGTTAAATTTCTTCTGTCTTTTGGTGTTTTTTCAGTCTCCTCGCTCCTTCTCTTGTCAGCTCCCATTTTGTAGTTAGAAGGCATAAGCCTCTAAGAAAACTCTTGTCAAAACAAGTTCTTAAGGCATCATCCTGGGGAAGATCTTGGTACATTGCCTCAAATGGTTACAGCACCAGCTGATGTCTGTTTAGCTCTGCAAGGGTAGCGAGGACAAAGGGGTTGAGGCTGGAATTGGTTCAAGTAGATGAAAGTCACAAGATGCTGTCCTGATTGAAACTAAAGCAAAAGACTCAATTGTTCTGTGAAAATTTTAGTAAAGAAATACTTCTGTTGGTTCCATGCTTGTGTATTTATAGTTTGCCTAAGCTTTCACAGGGGAGCATGTAATGAAAAAGGCAAAATGCCAGAAACACCATGGTAATGCTAATTTTTCTGGAATTATATTTGGCTAAACTCTCTTGGTTATTGTAACCTGCTTTTCTACTGCTTGTCTTCTAAGCTGTTGACTTTTACTGAAAACCTAAGGTAATTGAATTTTTCTTTCAGTTCATAACTGGACTCAAGAGGACACTCTTCAGTGGCTTTCAGATTTTGTTGAATTGCCCCAATATGAAAAGAATTTTAGAGACAGCAATGTCAATGGAACAACACTTCCCAGGTGAATATATCTTCTGGATTAGTTTCAGATAATTCCCCATAGGTTGCTGCATTAGTTTAAATGGTAGGAACAACTGTGTGAACCTAAAGTCTAGTAAGATACAGTCAAATGCAGGAAAAGAGAAGTGTCCTTGCAGTTTTGAAGAGGTGGCTGCGATATTTCAAAATACGACTTTCCTAAAAGTTTTATTTCTTTCTGTGGGCTTTATCAAAGGTCCCATAATTCTGTGTGGTGGCAAACTTCCTTTTGAACACCTTCTGATCTATTGTATGGGTATATACAACAACATAACTATAAAATACCTTCCTGGAGCATAAATACCACACCTGAGTATTGCGTGTATTCAGGAGTTGGTGTCACAAGTCTGTAAATATACCTTTAACTGTTCTAAATGGATTTATTTTTCCAGAAAGGAAAGAATAAATTATTTCATTCTCTTCTTTTGCCACGTGCAGATATGCATTTATATAGCATTACTGCTGTATTGTATTTGTCATACTTAATTGCATAGTAGTAATCTGTATAACTGTGGGAAATGCTGTTGATGTCTTCTTTTTTTGCATAGACTGATTTTGAATATAGCTTATAGAATAGGTAACGTTTTGTCTTGTCATTAACAGGATAGCGGTAAATGAACATGCTTTCATGATCTCTCACTTGAAAATAATTGACCGGAGTCATAGACAGAAGCTTCAGCTTAAAGCCTTGGATGTTGTTTTATTTGGACCTCTCACTCGTTAGTAACTTTTTGGAGTTTTTTTCTTATCTCTTGATTGTAGGAATTCAACAGAGCATATTTTCCATGACACTTGATACTGTAGATAGGACAGCTTATCTATTTTGTGGATGTGCTGATGGATTGCTTGGCATGCATTGTGGAACTCTGCAATGAATTAAAAAAAGTTATTTAGGTGCTGTGAGCAGAACAAAGGTTCACTTCTGTGTGTAAGATCATGTAGAAATTTTAGTATAACCCCACTTGACAGATGGATGTTGGGTGCTGATGGATTGCTTGGCATGCATTGTGGAACTCTGCAATGAATTAAAAAAAGTTATTTAGGTGCTGTGAGCAGAACAAAGGTTCACTTCTGTGTGTAAGATCATGTCGAAATTTTACTTTTGTGTCACAAGACGTGTCCTCTAAATATTTTTGACTGTTTAAATTACATTTATAGCTAAGGTTACATTCATTTCTCAGTTAGCTTGGACAGTGCAGCTGGCATGCTGAAATGAGAGGGGATGACCTTCCCCAAGAAGAAGAAATGAGATGGTGATGTAAATCCAACACCTGTGTCTTTTGTGCACACTTGAGTTTGAGTGCAGTTAAATTTAAGGCAGGAGTTCCACATCTGACCCATTTTACCATATGCAGCCATGTCCATACCACATCAGCAGTGCTCTGCATGCTTGCTTGTACACAGTTACAGCTCTGCTCTGGCACTGTGCATGTCAGGTGCTCCTGAACTAGTCAGGCCAGATCTGAGTGGCGATTTTAGGGGACAAAAAAAGCACTTTGTGTTAGACCTTTAATTTAATTGTATTAGACCTTTAATGCTCACAGAAACTGTCTTTACAGAGGTGCAAGTGATTATAAAAGTTGTACTAACAAAGATGTGTTATGTGAATGTTGGATATGATAATTTGACAATCCAACATCTACTTTTTAAAAGTGCTGCTGTTACCATTAAAAAATGTACTTCATTCTTCCCGAGTGCATTTTTAACTCCACATAGAGTATTTAAGTGAGTGCAGACTGGGGAGAACTTGCTGAAATCTAATTACACCTCCTACTGACCTGATGCAGTACAGTTGTGGAACTCTATTTTAACTCTAAATAAAGATGCAGAGTAGGTACTGTAAAGGGGTTTAGTAAGCTTTTCTCAGTGTAATGAATGTTTTAGTATAGGTTAAGTAAATTGTATTAGAGCAGAGCTGCTTATGTTTTATGAACAATGCTGTGGAATACATTTGAAAGGTAGTTCTTGGGAGTGGTTTGAGGTAAATGAGCTAGAATTCTGTTTAGCATCAGGTTCTGTCACCTTTTAGCCTGGGGAGCGGGAGGGGAGGCCTTAGTCAGTTGTCTGTATCAATGAAGTAGTTAATGATGGTGTTGTTCTCTGCACAGGTCCCCCTCACAACTGGATGAAGGATTTTATATTAACAGTCTCTATAGTTATTGGTTTTGGAGGCTGCTGGTTCGCATATACACAGAACAGAACCTCAAGAGAACATATCACAAAAATGATGAAGGACTTAGAAAGTCTCCAAACAGCAGAGCAAAGTCTTCTTGACTTGCAGGAAAGGTATAAAACGTAAAAGAAAAAAGAAAAGTTGTCCTTTTGTTTTGAAGTTAAACACAAATGCAGATCCTTTACAGTCTTAAGTTTTTTGCATTAACTGCCTTTGGATTTTGTTCATCTTCTCTTTGCATGGAAATTGTGGTGCTGATTTCTTGGGTAGAGATTGCTCCCGGATATTTTAGCAGGCAAAACAAACTTGTGGAGGAAGGTAGAGAATAGAGTCAGATCCTTTTTTCCTATATATATACAAGTATTTACTGTTGTTTTCATAGAATTACAGTTTTTTTAAAATAGTTACATACACGGAAATGAGAGCACTGTTTCTCTTTTTAAGCTTTTAAGATAGAAACTAATCAGCTCAGGTCTGTTTCAATTGCATATATAGCAATGTGAAAGTTGATAGTCTGTGGTACACCTGTAACACAGTTGTCTATAGAGACTTGGATTTTGATACTGCACTTTCAATGAGAATTCACTTAAAAGTTTGGGTATTTTGCCTGGCCTGGATATCACATTGTGTGGTGTAATTGCTGCTGATTCATGAAGCTTGCAGAGTCTTTGTTATCACAGAGTGGTTGAGGTTGGAAGAGACTTCTGGAGTTCATCTTGTCCAGCCCCTCCTGCGTAAGCAGGATCATCTAAAACAGGTTGCCTAGGACCTTGTGTAGGTGACTTCTGAATATATCCAAGGATGGAGACTCTACCACCTCTCTGGGCAACCTGTGCCAGTGTTCTGTCACTCTCATGGTGAAAGTGTTTCCTGATGTTCAAACAGAACCTCATGTGCTTTGGTTTGTGCCTGTTGCCCTGTTGCTGGATGCATTTTGTTATCCTGAGGACTAGAACTTGTAACAAATATGCTGTGTATTTTCTCATATTTTTTGTTCAATTGTGAAGGCTTGAGAAGGCACAAGAAGAGAACAGAAACGTTGCTGTTGAAAAGCAAAATCTGGAGCGCAAAATGATGGATGAGATCAATGATGCAAAACGTGAAGCTCATCGCCTCAGGGAATTGAGAGAGGGAGCTGAATGTGAGCTCAGCAGGCTCAAATATGCAGAGGAAGAGTTAGTACAGGTATCTGCCAGCTGTTTATAAATTTAGTGTTGACTTTAAATTTGTCCTAGTTTTGTTAGATCCTCAGTAGTGTTTAAAACAGCCTACCCCAAATGCTAGATTTGAATGGAAAAATTCTGTGAGTGCTTAATGATTGTCTGTCAGTCATGCCATTATCTAGTAAAACAACCCTGAAACTATTAGAAGCTGTAAACTTTGTATATTAGCTTATGATAATATTTTGAGAGTCACTGAAAAAAATAGATACAAAAGCTTTTTTAATCTTGATATTAGAAGAGAGAGTAGCTTTGTTTCATCTGAGCAGCAATAAATTTGGATTTATTGTACTAAAAAAATTATCGTCTTACAAAAATATTTAAACTTTGAATTAGGAACTATATAGCATTGGAAAAATTATGGAAGGTCATATGCTAGATTTCAGAGCTGCCAGATCTGCATATCTGACAACAATCAGCACACACCAAAACTCTGTCAAGCTTTGCTATGTTGCTGTGGGCTATAAAGGTGCTTATAATTCACCTGTTAGTTCTAATGATACTTTTAGTGACACTTTCATTTCTTTTGTTAGGTTCGCATGGCTTTAAAAAAGGCTGAGAAGGAGTTTGAATTAAGAAGTAATTGGTCTGTTCCTGAAGCTTTGCAGAAGTGGCTTCAGTTAACACATGAAGTTGAAGTACAATATTACAATATCAAAAGACAGCATGCAGAAATGCAATTAGCAATTGCTAAAGATGAGGTAATAAATTATTCTTCAGCTACTTAAATATTTTTCTGATCTGTTGCTAGAGATATGAAATAGCAAACACAAAGCAGATAAACACTTGTGCTTTTTTTGTCTCTGAATTGTTGTTTGCTACCTGTCAACATTGCTAATGTTTTGTCATCTGTTAAGTATGTTGCTAGTTTTATGCATTTCACTTTACTTTGTTTTTTAGGCAGAAAAGATAAAAAAGAAGAGAAGCACTGTATTTGGAACATTACATGTTGCACACAGCTCCTCCCTGGATGAAGTGGACCATAAAATTCTTGAAGCAAAGTAAGAGGGTTACTGGGACAGGATGCATATTCTTTTGGGATTATTTGCTCCCAGAACAGAACTCCTGGAGAGTTATGGAATTGAGTGTCTTAGTGGTTTTGCTCTTTAGAAAAGCAATTTAAAACATACTAAAATGCGAATATTTCAACAGCTGTAATGGATCTTCTGGTATGCTGGAATGAATGTGTTGCTTTGCTTTATCAATAAGCACAGTGTATGTAATTTTAATATGTGCTTTTCTTCAGGAAAGCACTCTCTGAGTTGACGACGTGTTTGCGAGAGCGTCTTTATCGATGGCAACAGATTGAGAAGATTTGCGGGTTTCAAATCGCGCACAATTCTGGGCTACCAAGCTTGACCTCCTCTCTCTACTCTGATCACAGCTGGGTAGTTATGCCTCGAGTTTCCATTCCTCCCTACCCAATTGCAGGGGGAGTTGATGACTTAGATGAAGACACTCCTCCAATAGTTTCACAGTTTCATGGTAAGTGATGAGCTCAGTAAAAAGAAAGGGGAAAAATTGTGGGACATGGGATTTTCAGGTCAGGTGGGAAAAGAGTACTGAAATCCAGCAGGATTAGATCAAAGTCAAAAAGACCAAAATTCTATGTAGGATTTCAGATACTAGCTGCAGTGGGACTTAAATGGAAAATTGGGTTTTGCAATAAAGATAATATGAAGAAAAAGCCTCTATTTTGTTTCAGTGGGAGAGTGGGGCAAATTCAGCTAAGGTTTTGAAAGTGATTGTCAACCTTGGATTGCTACTTAAACAAAAGTTTGTAATGAATAATGCTGAGTTTCTGTTAGCTCATTTATTCTTTCAGATGGAAAGGATGAGGTTAGTCCAGGGTTCCTTGAGCTATGAGAAAGATCACATCCTTTGGAGGCCACATGCTACATAGCCTTATGCACATTCTTTAGTGGTTGGAACAAAATCCTGTTGTTGTTCAAGGGAAGCTTTGAGGCAGAATGTTTGTGTTTGGTTATAGTGGGTTGGTTGTTTGAATGTCCGTCGGAGAGGCTGAGCTCTGGAGGGACAGAAATCCAGCTTTGGTTAAAGTATGATCAGAAGATACACACTGGGGATTCAGACCACCCTTGTATCATGAGTCATTGTGTCAGAACAAGAGCCTGCTTCGTGGAGCTTGTGATTAACTGGACTCTAGAGGCAACTCGAAAAAATGAGCTCCCATGCAGTTATTCAAACAAGCTGTTTTAAGCTGAGGAATGAGTAGGAAGGAAAACTGTCATGTGGGTACATTTTTCTTCCAGGGCTGGGATTCTCAGAAGAAATTCAGACTGTATTTTAAAATAACATAAGTTTGCCACTTTGCTGCCTTCACTCAGTGTGCCTTGGACACTTGTTTTTCTTCTTAATGTACCAACCTTTTTTTCTGCAGACCACATTGAAAAGTTCATTAATCCTCTTGCAACTTACTGCAAGTTCTGATCACTTTTAAGGAATGCTGTTTCTCTAGTTGTCTTCAGTACAAATACTTTGATTTAAACCCTGGCAACAAATTTATTGGAGACCCAATAAAATATGGATGCCTACAGTTAAGCTCCCAATTCTATATAGAGAAGCCTGTGGTCTGATTTCAGAATGAAGAGATCCATTTATTGTCATGATTTTCCAGATGGTCTACAATGGCAACACTTGGATATATGTAAAAAACTTCAGAGTTGTGGGTTTTTTAGTCACTCTTCTCATTTAGCTCTTGCTTAGAAGTGAAGCCAGAGAAGAAAGTGCAGTTGATTCAAAGGAACTACAATTAGAAAAGGACTGTACTGTTTGTAAGAGCATACTTAGCTGAAACTTTACTGTATGAGGAAAATATGCTAAATGATCAGTTGTTGAAACTAGTGTTGAGGAGTCAAATTATTGTAGGTTAGTTCAGTAAATACTGAATTATTCCCATCCTTTAGGCAAAAATTACAAATGCACACAAGGAAGGACAGAAGCATAATGGCTTGTCTTGATCATGAGGCTTCAGGCAAAATGCACTGTGCAGGAGGTCACTTAAGAAAGTGGCTATTTCCATCGCTGGATCTAAAGTGGACTGGGCTATTGCCTTGCCCCAGCATCCTTTGGACTCATAAGATCGACAAAATTTGAAGTCTGTTGGACAGGCTTCCATGTGCCAGAGCAATTGCATTGATAGGCTTATATGGTGTCGAGTAATAGAGCTGTTTGATCAATCTCAAGCTGAAGAACAAAAATGGAATAAGAAATAGTGTCTGACACTGGAAAAAAGTCCTTACAGCTGAAAGGTGGTAATGAAACTTCTGTTTTTCCACTCACTTATTGGGATTCAGCTGGTTCCTTGATTTAGTGAGTTTCATTTGTACTGGAAAATTCTACATGTTCAATCTTCATAGCTGAATTCTTCATATTTCTGTGTATATACACCTACAAAGGATCAAAATGCTTGTTACTTCTCTGAAAATTCACCAATGGTGCAATCTTGGGATTTTTTTTTAATACCAGTAAGTAGGATGGTATCTGATTTACCTTGACCTGTAGCACAAATTTCCTAAAGAGATTCTTATTCTCTTATCTCATTTCACATTTGCTCTTAGAGGAATGTAAGTAGGATGGTATCTGATTTACCTTGACCTGTAGCACAAATTTCCTAGAGATTCTTATTCTCTTATCTCAGTTCACATTTGCTCTTAGAAGAATTTTTTTTTGTAATGACACAAGATGATTTTTGAGCTCCCAACGTGCTTTTAAGGTCAGTAGGGAATTCCTCAAAAGTAATATTAGAAGTTTGAGTTATATGCCAACTCTCATGTTGAGAATTGCAAAACTTTCTTTCCTGCTCAGGGGTGGAAATAAATCTATGTGTTGGCAAAGGTGCAGTCACTTACAGTTTAGTGAAAGTTGTGATTTCCTGTACTAAAAGAGAGTGGACAACTTGTCCTTTTCTGATATTCCAGGAAGGCAAACTGTAACTTATATAGTGATAAACTGCCATTGCAGAAAATAATATGTATTTTGTCAGTCTAGACATCCTTGTCTACAAAAATAATTAAAGGGATATTTAGCATGTTGTGTTTGCTAAAAAATTTTGAACACCAGTAAGGGTCTGGTGTATCTTACATAAGCAGTGATGCATTCCATGGAACAGTTTGATGAGGGGTGTGAAACATCCTGAGACTTTGTAATTACTAGCCTGAAGAGAGGTCTGTAGATTTTTTCTGGACAAGTATTACTGCCTAATAACCTTTTGAAGGAGGAATTTGATTAGGAACATTTGAGTTTATCACTTCCTGTTGGGTACATTGCTGATGAAGTCTTGTGTGGCTGTCTCCACCCATTCTTAGTATTTTTACTTCCAGAAATTCATAGTTAGCCTGGCAAGAGACAATGTTATCTAAAAGAAAGTTCTTGATTTTAAAATGAGGTTGAATTATGTATTTTCTGTTATGTTATGCAAATGAAATTGGTCTTCTCTATCTAGCGTATTTTTCAACTACTGTAGTGTATATTAGTTGGCTGTTTGGTTAGTCATACCTACTTTGCAAAACTTTTACATTTTCTTCTAACTTCCAAATCACCACACAAAATAGAGGACATTGTGTAGCATACTAATTTCAACACTGCTATTTTTAGTTTATGAAAGGTTGGGAGTTTAAGTAGATGCTTTCTTTTTGTTCTCAAGAGAGTATAGTGAGCCAGAGCTTTGGTGTACTTGGTCAGGATAGTATTTGGCAGGCACAAAATTTCTGCAGTTGCATCTTGATTAGCTGCTTCATCTAACTGTAGAATGTATGAGGTGTGTCAGTCTTTCTTCCTTTGAAACTGTCAAGCAATGTCAAAGTTGTTTAAAAGTCACTCGCTGAAGCAGATATCTGCTACTTAGTCTTTCAGAGTAGATACTGTTAACATCAATGTCACTTGGAGGGTTTTGGTTTGCTTTTTCTCTGCCTCAGGGTCCATTGTAAAACCTCCCAGCACACTGGCAAGAAGCAGTAGCTTGTGTAGATCAAGACGCAGTGTTGTGCCATCATCTCCACAGTCTCAGCACGCTTTGCACTCCCCTGACCCTGACATCCTTTCTGTGTCGAGCTGCCCAGCTCTCTATCGAACTGAAGAGGAGGAGGAAGCCATTTACTTCTCTGCTGATAAACAATGGTACGGAGATTAGCAAACAGCACTTGGAACTCTTGGTAGGATTATTGAGACTAACAGTTTAGAACTAGACGTTAAACCAAGCCAAAAGTTAAAGTAATCTGTAGGATAATATAAATTAATATAGTCTACATGGAGCGGAGAGTTCTTGTCTGGTATGTGTATGTAAAATAGCTAGCATGTCATATACAGTTAAGAAATGTTACAATCCAGGGTGTACTGAACTAACCCTGATTCTCCATTACAATATGTTACTGGCTTTTACATCTGAAACTAGGATCAAAAGCAATGTCAGCTACTGGGCGAAGAGGAGATGGATGGTAACACAATTCTTACAGCATGTTGAGCGTGTACCTACTCTTGTTACATGGCCTCATAGGAAAAGGTTAAATTCCTTTTGGAAGGAGCAAATGAGCTTGTTGAAAGGTAGGGACACTTGTCCTGAAGAAACTTTTTGTGTATGATAGGCTTAAATCTCCTTCTTTCATTTCATAACTTTTCTGACTTCACGTGCCAGAAAGATAGGCTTTGTTCTTTGAAGTGAGATACAAATGACTGATTCTGGGCAGATGCTGCTGCCCACAAAAACAAGATTGCATAAACTAATTCCTTTAAGTTTAGATAATAAAATGATGTAGTGCAAGTTGTAACTTTAAATGTTTAACTTATTTTTTTTTTTGTTTAATTAACTACTAAGGAAAAGTGTGGGTGGTGCTTTTAGACTAATGTTATTGATTCTAAATTAATTTCCTTTTTAACTGTATGAAGGAAATTGTAGTTTCATTATATTTTCTCTTCTTTGTGCTCTGACTCAGGGAAGTACAGGAAACAGGTTCGGAATGTGACTCCTTAAATTCATCCATTGGAAGAAAACAGTCTCCTCCAGCAAGTCTTGAGATGTACCAGACAATTTCTCCTCAGAAAGTATCACCAGAAGAATTCTCACTTGAGGAATCATCTACAGGAGACTCCTCTTCTCTAACTGCAGAAGTTTCTAGGGGCTCTCCTGACTGTGTAGGCATGGCAGAAACTAAGAGCATGATCTTTAGTCCTGCAAGCAAAGTTTATAATGGAATCCTGGAGAAGTCTTGCAGCATGAACCAGCTTTCAACCGGGATCCCAGTCCCAAAGCCTCGTCACACCTCATGTTCTTCGACTGGCAGTGATAGTAAACCCAGCCATGAAGCTGCTTCTGTCCCCAGGATAAGCAGCATCCCACAGGACCTCTACCAGAATGGTGAAAAAAATAAAAAGCCATCAAAAATAAAAAACCTCTTTAAGAAGAAGTGTAAGTGAGGTGGGCAGAAGAAAACCTATAGTAATGTTATAAAAACTCTATTTTTTAAATCTTTAGGAATGTAATTCCATTTGAGCATTCCAAACTGGATGCCCTAATGGAATACTCTGTAGGTCACCTATATTTAATGACTGTACTGTCAACGGTTGTGCCAGCTGTCAATGAGAAATCATTAAAAAGTTCAGACAGTTTACATTAATTTCTGCCTATTTATTTCTTTATTTTTTTTAGGTTGTCTTTTTCAGCTTTTTTTTTAAAATTTGATTTTTTGGGCTTTTTTAAGTTTATTCATAAACCATTTGTAAGCCACTTTGGACTCCTAAGCTTTAATGGACTAGTAAGCCTTCCTGGGCTTGCCAAAGTTTCTTGTTTACTGGAGCATCTTCCTATCTTTCCATAGAAATAGGACATTTATCTACCGGACTTTAACAAAAATAAAAGAAGTAGAACTAAATGAATTGCACTACTGTTTTACAGACTGGAACAGTCTCTGCAAGTGAAACTGAAAGACTTGTATTTGACTGAGAAGATGAATCTTTTCACTTTTAGATCTTTTGGGGTTTTTAAGTAGAATTTAGCATTTCTAATTGACTTGATTTCTGGAAATGGAAATGTCATGCTTTTATTATGGGAAGCTTTGTTAGATGCATTTATTATTAGAATGGTTCAAGTCCTGCTGTAAAGATCATTTTTTTCCCAGGACTTTCACTGTGATTTTAATTCACTGCGGGCTGTATGAGAAACAAAAAAAAAAAAAAAAAAAAAGAGAAAAAAGAAAAAAAAAGGTAAATTACCAAGAGAACAGGCTCTTGATTCCTTATGCAAGATGGTTGTGAAACTTGACTGAAGACTGAAAAAATTCACCTCTCAAAATGAGGAGGGGGAATAGTAGCTTTTGTTTACAGTTTGACGGAAAATGGACATTTGGGTTGTGAAAGTTTGTACTGTGGTAAAGATAATAAATTGGAAACATTATTGTGCTTGGGAATGTTCCAATTCTAGCCGATGCTTGTTTCAGACATGTTTCAGAAGTCCTGTTTATTGGAAGCTGTCATAGGCTACATTGCTTATGCTCACTGCTGTGTATAAGTTATTATATTTTTTGAATTAGCTATTATTGTCTTAATGTCCTCCTTTTGTAAAATTTCATACACTTTATTTTTGTATAGTTTGAAGATTTAGCTGTTCAGAGATGTCTGAAGTAAATGGTATAATTTTATAATGCATACTGTTATACTAACTCATAATTTTAGATATAAAGATAGATCTAAAGGTGAGATGACATGCTTCAGATAAAAGCAATTTTTGTGAAGCTTTTTTAGGGAGAGATGAAATTACTGTGAGGTAACAAGGAAGCCTTCTTAGGGTAGCAGTAGGTAGGTGTTAAAAAACTTATTTTTTTTAAACAATTGGAAACAAGAAATATATGGCTTAAGCAACAGTGCCTTTTATTCAGTTTGAAAATATTAATACTGAGCAGGAATTTCTTCTGAGGTTCCAAAGAAATATCTCCTGCTCTAGTCAACAGAAGCAATTTTACCTAGTGATGACTTAACAGTCTCAGATCTTCCATAGGGGTGTTCTAATTGCCTCAGTAGCAGGTGCCACTGCCAGGGACTTGTGATTAGGGGCTCACTTCTTACCAATATGTATGTGATGTACTGTGTGAAAGAATTATTTCACAGACTGCCTACATTTTTTCTAGTAAGGAGCCTTCAAAACCTGTAGCTAATTGAAATCAAGTCATGTGTGTCTTTTCTGTCATTTTCTGTTTAGGTTCCACTGTACATACCCAATGTGTTAGCTCTCTCCTCAAGAAGTGGTGGTGATTTTAACAGATTTACTGTGGTTAGTGACATGGTTGAAAGAGAAGGGTTATAAAATGCGGTGGAGACCTTGCATGTGCAAGTACTTTAAATGTCCTGGTACATTGGTTAAGTTCTTAAGAGAACAGAAATAATCCAGAGATTTGTTGTCTAACAGGGACTGATTGTAGGCCATCTATGCAGAAAATCATGGGACAAATCAACTGTTTGATAAAGTTTGGAGAAGAAAAAATTAGTGGAATAATGAGAACATAATATTGTTCCATTATTCTCTGAATCATCACATTGACCAGCTGTGGGCTTCAAAATAAAGTAATTGCGAGGTAGCAATGGTCTCTTTGAACAAAGATTGTACATTCTGTACATGGCAGACAACAAAAAGCAGTGATGAAAAAAGACTTGTGCTGAAGAACCACCTCAATGCTGAGCCCTCAAGAGCTGTAGGTTAAGCCTGATGAAGTACTTGAACATCTACAAAGGGAACAATTACTTTATGCAAGTAGGGAACTTCCTGTGCCTCCCTCAAACAACATGAAGACTACTACCAGAAAAATCTTGGTGCATTTGAGAAGACTATAGCAATAATTGAGTTGAAAATAAGATCTGGGGCTGGATAGAAGATCTTGGTGTGAGATTTGAGTAACTCTGTCTCTATCATTGTCAAAAAAGATTAAGTGGGATTTTGGTACTGAAGAGTAAACATTTACACATGGAGAAAAAGCTTGTACTGAGTAGTGGAAGGGCAGCACTTCTTAATTCTGGTATCAAAATTGGGCAGACTCAAATACTGAGAAGCCAAAGCAGACAAATTCAGTTTTTTGTAGTAAGTATAACTAAAAGTGAAATAGAGGAGGTATTGAACTCTATTGGCTGGAAGTTAAAGTGCTAAGTAGCTTTTTAAAAAAACAATTTATTTTCTGGAAAAAATATTTCTTTATGCTGTACAAACAAATCAGATAAGATTATCATACTGATAGATTTTGGCTTCAAAATGGCAAACCTTTGGAGCACAGACAACTCTCAACACTGAGTATGTCACCAGCTGTCCTGTAATTTTATAGCTGCTTCTTAATAAGTGTTAGAGAACAGAAAGCTTAAATTAATACAGTCGGAAGTGGTGAGTATTATACGTTGGAGGAAAAACTAATTCTAAGTTAATTGAGTTTAACTTAGTGGCTATTATTTCAATAGCCACTTGCATTTCTTGCCATTTAAATTTGTCCACAATGTAAGTGGCTTCCATTGCTCCTCCTGCAGAAATTCCTGTCTTTAAATGGTTCGAGTCATTTTACCGAGGGATGTTGAGAGCACTGGCTCTGAGGTGGATCTTCACTGGCAATCATCAGATCCAGTCTTAGCATTGAAGTACCTGGCACACGTCCACGTGTAAGAAGTGAGACAATGTTCCTCAAAAGGTTCTCTGTTCCATTTGCTACCACTGTAACGTGAACTTGCTGGCAGTCAGTGAGTCCAGCCAGCATTCCAACCACTAGGATTCATAGGACATATCAGTCACTTGAGACAGTCAGCTAGTGTCATTAAAGATTGGTTTATGGGTTTTTGTTTTGTTTGTTTGTTTTGGGTGTTTTTTCGCTTTCATAGCTAAAATCCATGCTCTGTTTTTAATTATCTGGTATCTCAGAAGATGAGGCTCTTTGCTATTTAAATATTTTGTTAGAGTACTTTGTCAGGACAGCAGCTCATTTGCAGAAATTGCCTAAAAGACTTCTCCCTGTTCAAGGTTGCTGTTTAAGTCACTTGTAAAATGAAGAAGTGTCAAATATAAGGTTCCATATGAAGAAGAAAAAAAATCCCAGTTCTTCCAAAACTAAACAAACACAAACCTTTCCACAATTCTTACTAAAGCTATATGACACTTGATTAGCATAAAAGTTTTGGGAAGGGCATTTTGGTTGCCATGGGGAATGCTTTTTACTGTCTTATAGTGGACTTAGAGATTAAAACAGCTGATTGTGTTTGCATTTTTTGGTTTTTCATTTTGGTTGGTTCCCCTCCATCCCTCATGCCCACGGCTCAGTGATGGAACTTAAAATTGTTCATTAACAGTTCTAGGTATATGTCAACTTTTCTTCCCCCTCTGGTATCTAGGTAGTGGATTACCTTCTACTTCCTGAAAGGTAATTCGCTGAAAGAGGAAAAATCCTCAATTATAGTCCAAGTAGTAATGTTATAGTAAGAATATACTTCTATGTTATAGTAAGAATATACTTCTGTCTTTGGAAGCCTAGAAGATGATGAAGCCAAGAATACTTGATTTCAGTTATCTTACAATACTTATGGATGCTAGCTGGAGTTAGGCAGTAATTTACAACTGATTGAAAGCCTAAAAAGAAAGCTAATTAGAAATTAAAGCTTTCAAGATTTTGCCCTTTTGCTTCCCAAAATATGGGAACATGGCATGCACAGGAGGGAGATGAGCTGATTAGTTTTTCTTGTATCACCAGCTTTTAGAGTTTCAGGATAGTTTCATTCCATTTCCACAATACATTGCTGGAGAGGGATTGTAATCCTGGATGTTGCATCTTCAGTGATTCATGGTGAAGCCCACTATGCCTGGTTGAGTCTGAGTGCTGCTAATACTTTCTGCTAGTGACACAGATGTTGGGATAACTAATAACCAAAAATTGCCTGCAGAGTTTTGCTGCCTGACAGTGTGTAGATGTTTAGGTGACCATTCTTTGAGGCTTCAGTAGCAGTTCAAATGTGTCAGGTATTCAACAGATAGTTTTTGCATCCAGCCCAGTACAGGTGATGTTTTTTTGATTCTCCACTTAGTTCCCTGTTGCATAAACAGAATGCACGAATTCGTATAAGTGGTAACAATATCAAACTTGATTATTCCCGGGTGCTTTTGCATCTGACATTGCTTAAACAGATGGCACTACTTATTAATTCACTTCAGGCATTCAGAAATAAAGTAGATTTGTGTTATCTGTTGTTTTTCTTTACAACTTTAAATCTCAAATTTACCAAATGGTGTGTGTGTTCTGTGTATTTAATGCTTCACTGAAATGAAAGCGGGAAGGTTGATTTCTGCTTAGATGTTAAGGATAACACATTTGAGCAAGGTAAAAAGAAATGCCTCTTGCTCATTGGAGAGGATGAAAAATGTTCAGTGGTATTTAATCTTCTAAGGAACACTCACAATTTAGATTGCTGGAGATAAGAGGTACATTCAATCTCAAGGCTTTCAGATCAGTAACTTTTTATCCAACAAAAAACTCCGCTTTCTTCTTTACATGTACTCTCCAGGGTATTACCTTCTTATTTCTAATTTCTATTCTGTTTTTCACCCAGCATTAAATTTAGTAGTTACAGTACTCACTGGTGTGATTACCAGACCTCCGAGCAGTTTCAGAGAACCTTTAGTAGCATGTCTTAATGTCAATTTTGGTTTAATATGTGTAAAGATATCTGAATCAAAACTTTGCCCTTCACATTCCTTTTATTTTAATTCAACTCCGTTCTTTGTGATCCCTTTGCTGTTAAAATAAACAGGTACTGGTAGTTTAGAGTATTACAGGCTTTTTTTCAGTTTGATGTTACTAATAGATAAATGATAAATAGTTGCCTTTTAAAGACTTTGTCATAGTTGGATATTGTAAAAACTCTGCTGTGCTTCAGATGAATGAGGTAGAGCATTGGCTGGTGTGTATGAGTGGTAAAGCTATCCTTTATCTTGTTTATTTGTGACTTAAGTTAATGCTGCACAATTATTTTCAGACTTGAATTCATTTAAAATTAAGGTCAGTATGTCCAACCCTACAAACTCTGTCTTCAGTTGTCAGCCATCACTCCATTCTTACAGAAATTAATGACAATCTTGAATATTTGTACTAGCTTGATGGGTGGTAGAATGGATTCTGGTAAGTTTTCAGGTGGAAGGCAGAGAACTTCTGAAGTGACCTAGGTAACCTGTGTTCTTGATCGGCTTTCAAATCCATCTCCCACTCAGATGGAGTCTCCCCAGGGGAATGTAGATGTACTTACTGCTTGGAACTTTGTAGTTAATTATATTTGGCGCTCTAAATCTGATAACTTGCATGTGTGCTATGCTTGCTTGCTTTTCAATAGCTGACAAAATCTATAGATCTTGGGAGTTTGTCTTTAAAAATTGCTGTTAAAAAGAAAAAAATACTGG